GAATGGAAAAGCACTTACCTGCAATCCTTCTACGACGAATGTACATTAACAATGAATTTCAGGTCATTTGGGAGTTAAGCAAGCAACCAAAGTCCACCCGTGACTTTTGCTATCTCAATGTCTTCCCAATCATCATCATTCCCAACAATTTTTTTGCTTCTTCATGGTGATCGTTCTCCGACGTCGTCGCCATCATCGTCATCAGCATCATCAGCATCATCATCATCATCATCATCGGACTCCCTTCTTGCGGAGTCCGAACGTGTTCGCTTGCTTCTGGATCCCACTGCAAACACGGAAACCCGCCGTCCTCGAATATCCCCATGTTGATCGCCTGGTCCTTGAGCGAGGGGTTGCTGGTGAACTCCTTGACTCTGTATTTGATTGCTGTCAACCAAGAGCTGAACAGCACTGTTCTCAAGGGTTGTCCCAAGCTTTTGGGGTCCTGGGCTTTCTTCTTCTCCCGCTGACAGTTCAACAGACCCTCCAAACCATGTAGCAACTGCAGCAATTGATCATCCATCCAAATGTGATCGGCCGCTTCCACCCACTCAGGAAGCTGACGGAAGGCATGGTCTCAGATGTCATCCTTTGGACGCTCGAAATCCAAAACCGCACACAGGAAGCGCAAGCAGCATACACGCTGATAGGGAGACTCATCCGCAGCGGACGCACGCACCTGGCAGCGTCCACTCTGAGGGCCTCCAAACTGGGTCGGTCTCTTCTTGCGACCGCGGTGGACAAGAAGATCCAAGAGCTCTGAGGCCCGCCATGAGTCAAGTACAACAGTTGCAGCTAGCCAATCGCAATCAGCACAGTTACGCCAACGCAGTTGTTTTGACTCTTTTATGGGCCGCCAGCTCCTCGCAAAATGGCATCTGGATTGTCAATCAAGGGTTGCGCAAGTTCCTGCAATGGCTCTCCACTCAGTCCAAGCCTCAACCCCTATGGCAGACTCTAGCATGGCAAACCCTAACAAAATCTTGGTCCCAGCTTCTGAGGCAACATGATCCTGCGTCCTTTTTGCACTATTTGCATCCAATGATTTTCGCCGCAAGCGAAGGTGTGTGGCAAGCACCTGTGCCAAATCAAGCAGCTTCCATGCCAGACTCGTGCCAGGTATCGCATAGCGGACACGCGAGGCCCATACACTTACCTGCAGCCCCGCACCCAGATGACCCGTGCACTCTTCAGTCTCTTGTTCAGAACTGGCATTGTCAAACCCAGGTTCATGGGCTGAGCACATTATCGCCGTTACTGGCCCTGCGCATACACAGGTTTGATGATAAGGGTGATAAGATTAATTCCCACATTCATGGCCCCTGGAAGGTAACCATCCCCTGGTTCACTGACAGCAGCCTCACTACCCTCCAAGTCCCCTATGAAGTGCACGCCATTATCCCATTCTGGGTCATGCGTATTGCAAGGCCATCATTGCGCGGTCCTGCTTGAGGAAGGGTCACTGAGGTACGTAACATCAGACGGCAAGCGAGCTAGTAGGGTTTGGGCTACGGAAATTCCCCAGATTTGTCAGAATGTCTACATAGTTGTATTAAGGAGAAGCAGTGACTCTCAGCAGCAGCTTTTTCAGGGTGGAAGCGATAGGCACTCCAAACCCAAATGTTTTCGGCAAAGCCGAAGGGTTTGGCTTGGAACCAAAAACCTAGATACACGGCTGCTATTATCATATTGTGTTTGAAAAGACTCTGCGCCAAGCCAATGGTAGCTTGCTTGTAGGGCCTACCGGGCCGGAGCTGGCAGAAAGACTGAAAGACTCCCACTAATACAATGGCAGTCAACGAACGCAACGCAAAGACCCTTTTGCGGCGGTGGAAGAAGAAGGATTCTTCAGGGCTCATCCGATAAAATTGGAACCATACAGAGACGATTGGCATAGCCCCTGCACAAGGATGGCAGGCACAAATCGAGAAGTGTACCAAGTTTTGACTGTAAGCGTGCGGCTAAGATTAAGTCCAAAGAGTTTTCGTTGGTGCACTCAAATCTTTATATCATGATACTGGCGAAGTGCTTCTCACTCGAAAAGCTTAGCTTGCTTGTGGGATATTCCTGCCGGAGCTTGGCTATGGAGGAATACCCTCCACTACTCCAAAAAAGCAAGACCGCATCGCGAACTCTCTCGCGGCGAGTGAAGAAGATCATCGTCATCATCATCATCATCATAATCATTATCATCATCATCATCATCATCATCATCTGGAAACCAATGCTACACTGCTGCCGCCGCGGGCCCGCGATCAGCCCAAAGCTCTGCGCCGCGTGCCGCTGCATTCTTCTTTCTTCTGAGGAAAGGACCCCATATGCCGTCTGTCTGGGGAAATATTCTGAACTTGGGGGGAGAGTGTGAGTAACAGTAGGAAAATTGACGTCACTAGTCAAACAGGGAATCCCGATTCGCATGTTGAATCGAAACATGGATGGGCGAACGGGCTGATAATAATGCAAGAGGGTGTCCAGGAAAGGCACCCCAGACCAGCAGGGGGGGACAACAGAGCCTATACTTGCATAGACCCGACTCCGGCTCTTGGCATCTCAGCTGGTAGGCAAAGAATAACTACGTGATTGAGGTGAGTTTCATCTATGGATGTGTGTTTAGGACATGTTTCAGGTCACAGACACCGAAAGGGCTTGGGAATGTTGACAAAGCCGACTGCCTTGCCTGAAATCATCCCCTTTCCTTCAATGACCTTGCAGCCCGTCGTTGAAATCTCCGAGAGCATACATTGGTTCCACGAGCGAAAGGGTAAACACGTTCCTCGACACGTTCGTGTGAGATCTGTTCTTCGTCCTGTTCGATCTTGTTGTGCAGGGCATACGCACCATCCAAAAAAATCCAGAAACCCCGAGACGACAAATTCCATACGCATTCTTGTTCCTCGTGGCTGGTACGCATGCATTTGTTGTCTCCATACTACCGTTTCACATATAGGGGGCAGCATGGCAAAAAACTGTCAAACAACCTGTCGTGCGTTTCAGTAAATCTCAAAAATCCGATGACCCTTGATAGATACTTTGGGCATGTGGGGTGCGATGGATTCCACGCTTGGGAGAAAGCACGAGAAGGATCATTTGTCATACTACAGCCATGCCATGGCAAGATGGAAAAAGGCTGACAGCAGTGCATGGAAAGCTAGAGAACTTTCACGTTGATCGCAAAGCAGCAAACATACTCGCAGCCAAACTACTGCTTCCAGGAGTTCATCGGCAGTCACGTCTGAAGACGTCTGGACCTTGCTCGCAGCTTGACATTGGGTGCACTCATGACATGCCTGTTCATTGGCATGTTTCCAAATATGGCCGGCATGGAGCCTGCGACAGAATGTCCAGCACTGCGCTAGCATGGCGGCGCAACACCGCCCTTGTAGTATTCGCATATTCCTCATGCACTAACACATGAAAGGGAGCTGAACCAAGAAAACAAACACATGAAAGCCCTGAGCACTTGACCGGCGTTTCATGCAAATCAGGCGGTGAAACTCCCGGTGAGGTTGCAAACACCTCGGTTGCGGCCCTGCCATCCAGCAGCCCTGCATGTCCAAGCCAGGGACCTGGACCTTGGAAAGCCTCGAAAGCTCTTTAGTATCCTGTTCGGTCATCCCGATTTCAACCAACTTGACCTTAGGAGTGGCGATCGGGGCATCAGGGATCAACAAGCACGTGTATGAAACCGAGGCTCCAGCCCCTAGATCGAAAACACCTAAAAACAACTCCTCAGCTAGTCGGCAGATGCTGAATCAAGGGCAGTACACAGCTACGAATGATGGAGGAAATCTTGCGCCACCTTAGGTCCTCAAAGTCACAGCGGTTCCAGTATTTCTGGCTTGGCGAAGTTTAGCGCCACCGGGTGGTGCAAGATTTCATCCATCAACAGTACAGCATGCCAGCATACTTGAGCTGACCCGTCCTGTAAGTGACCACAGAGGTTCTTGAAAGGAGCCCAATCTGTCTCGTTGGCATAGACCTGAGAGACTATCTGCAACCATGAGGCCCTGTAGACTTGGAAACCAGGCCTCCACGGGTGTTGAGGAAGCAATGTTGTCACAAATTACCCGATTGCAATCACCGTCCTTCAGACACAACTCCAAGCTGCATCTATGAGATCAAGAATACAAATGAGATGCAGATCCTCGAGCAGATGTTGTCGAAGTCGCCCAAGACAGGAAACACCTTCGAATCACCCGTTTCATCAGCTCACGTGAACCTTTGCACGATTCGTCACAACTGTACCGAGGAGCTTTCAGGGCGCAGCTTCTGCCCAGGCAATGCACCTGGGCCCAATGAACTGCGATGCTCGAAAACGTGATGCATCTCAGAACTCCAAGATACCAGCACTCATCTATGTGAAGCGGATATCTCGATTCAAACGCGCCATCCGGGTATCTGGCCGGATGCTGACAGACCCGGCTTATCGCATCTCAACCACTTTCCAAGACACCGCCTGAGCACGGCATTACCGGGCCCGGCCAAAGCCAGCGCCAGCCAGAAGGCATCTACAGCAGCCATCGAGCCAGGCCACCATAGCTTTCTAGACGCATAACTTAACAGCTGAATGCTGTGACATCACAAATTCAGCCGACTGCGGGAAATCCCCTGAACTGCTCATGAAGATTCTGAAAGAAAACCCTTCCTTTTAGAGATAAAGTTTCAGGTCCAAGGCTAGGGCTAGGGTATGGAGTTTGGTGGTTAATTAGAAATAGGATCTTGGAATCTGAAAAAAAAACATGGGGATCAACTCTTCCGGCGACCTCTGGCATGTCTTGTCATAGTGGGGTAAAACGAGAGCGTGCTTCAGGGACGATTTCAGCAACTTGGACCCCAGCATTTCCGTGTGGAGGTTGACAATTAGTGCATGTGTATTGCATATGGTTGCGTATGACTTCTCATGCCATGCGTTCGCAGCGTCTGCTCGAGCAGCCAAAAAGCCCCTTCTGCAAGCTTAGATTTCGGGGCTCAGCGTGCAGCTGTCACTTGCGGCCTCCTTGCACCATGACATAGCCGTGGGCTTGGCGGCTTTGCCACGAGATGGCTTTGGCTAGTTCACACCATGGCAACAAACGTGCCAGGTGAAGCTGGCTACACTAACGGGCAGTAACTCACTTGCTTGCTTTGCTTGCTTTGCTTGCTTTGCTGACACTCTTCCACTGGCAAGTAGAGACATTCTCCAGTCCTGCGTATCCTAGGAGCATTACTTACAGACCTTGCATTGTGATGTGAAAGGGCCGCAGGAAGCTTGCATGCCACATAGAATGCTAGCTCGAAGACAACAATGGCAGCCTTGGTCTGATCCAGAGCACAATCTCCGCCCTGAGCAGGCAAGATTGTTGAACTTCTTTGTGCCAGCAGATCATCTAGCATCAGCGCAGTGCTCCAAGGCCTTGGCCAACAGCACATCAAAGAGAACATACATTGAAAGCTTCGTAAAAGCTTCGTAAGCTCCAAGCCAAAGATGCCAAAGACATGGACATGGCCCCGGCCGCCTCAGCGGCCTCGGCGGCCTCGTCCTTTTCCTTCTTGGCCTTTTCTCCGCTTTCTTCACTTCCGACGCCTCCTTCCTCGACCTCGTGCCCTAGCGGCGTGCTCCACCCCACACACTTTGAGCGTGCAAAGTCTTTTTGCCAAAATGTCCGCAGCTATGCACAAACAGAGTCCTGCATGAGTGATTCTCCGATAGTAGCAAGACGGCCGCGATGATCCGTCTGGCCCCTTTGTGTGGCATGCCCCGGATCTCCTGTCGAGCTCCATACTCGCCATACTCTTGCAAGCAACCCTTAGTGAATGAAAGGTCCGATGTCTGAGCAAGATACCTGGGACGGACGAGGTACAGCAGAGAATTTTGCTCGCAGTTCACACGAACTTCCACGAGATCAAGTACCTCTGATCACGTTGTACACATCGATGACATCAACAAAAACAAGATGTGCTTCAAACAAGAGCAATGATAGCAAAGAGATGCAAAGAGCAGACTCTTCGCAAGGCTTCAGCTCAGCTGCTGACATCGCCAGATGTGTCGCCCTTTATCCACAGCTTGTTCCGAGATGTGCTCCTCAAGATGAAGCATGGCAAGTATAGGAAGGCTATGAACAAATAGCGCCACCATCAGTCCAGAGAACACAAACTTTCCGCTTGAGAGCCTCCAGGAAAGCCTCGTCATGAAGCACACCCTTCTGCAGGACGAATCAGCAAAGTTCTGGCAAAGCTCTGTCCTTCTCATTTGCGAAAGCCACGATGAGAACCTGGACACCAGCATTGGGAGCTTCGCAAGCCTATAATCTCTGCGTCTACAGATCCCACCTCTCGAGAGTCGACATTTTGTACGGCAACCTTTTACTGCAAGGCTGGTGCTGAAGACGAATTGCTTCGCTGTAGTGAGCGAGGGTCAGGCGGGAATCACCGACGACTCACACAAAGCCACCTCACCCCAGCTTCTGCTTCAGCTGAAATGCAGAAACGTCAAGCTCTAGCCTTCTTGAGCTTCTCCCAGTCCAGCTGCAATTTTGATCCCTGCACGGAAGCTCTTACCGCTTGACGCACACCGCACCTCTTTCAGCCTCTTCCAGCTCCTCATGGCTCGCCATATCTACATACTACTAAATCCTGCAATGGCAAGCCATGGCGCCAACCGATGAAACTGCGATGCAAACAAGTTAAACCTCTAGACTGCTATACTGAGTTGGTGTGCCAAAACAAGAAACCCTGCGCAGGCATTCGCGCCAATTCCGCGGTGCCAAGAAAGAAGCTACATGGTCAGCTGTGTTCCTAGCGTGTCACAACCTACAATCTACACACAGGCATCATCGAAGCCAACCTTGATCATGACGCACAAACGCACTGACCAATCACATGAGGGACCAACATGCTGACACAAATTCCTCACGTAAACATACTGGCAAATACGTGAGCGGAGGGCGTGCGATTCAAGGCAAGAACGGCTCCTCAGACAACCTGCGATGAGACTTCAACACTCTGAGATTGCAAACCATGGGAACCTATATAAAATTTGTGGTTGTCGGTTGTGGGGGATTTCTTCTTGGATCTCCAAACTGAGCAGCGCAGCTTTGAGCATGCAACTCCACTAGGCAAAGCTCATGAAAGCCTTTGTGAGAACATCACAATCGCACGCCTCACGAATACCAAACATGCCCTCCACCCTTGCACGCCCTTTTTTTATCGGCACTTAGGCAGTCTGAGGTTTTGTGAATTTACGATGTCCTCTTTGAGGACTTCGTATTGGAATGTCTGCCATGAGCTAACGAATACACGAAGCCCCCCATTGTGCTACCTGCCAGACCTATCCATCCCAACGAAGTCAAGTGGGCTCCGAACAGAAGCATGCCAACAACTGTGGACAAGACACCCTTTGAAGTGCCTGCCACCGCTGTTGCGAGAGGGGAATTTTCTGCAGTGCACCAGAAAGTCGCAAAGTTCAACACAGCACCCAAAAGCACGTATGGCAAAAGGAACTGCAGTAAGTTCGACACCTCCCCTGGCCCTTGTAGGAAAACCACCACATCAGGTAGCTCCAAGAGCGTCAGCGGCGCAAACAACAAGGAATTGTAGAAAGCTGTATAGAATACCAAATCCATTGACGACAGTTCAGCTTCATCTTGGGCATTACGAGCCAACACCAGATACAGCGACTGGCAACCAGCTGCAGATAAGGCGAGCATGTAGCCGCTCAAGTCAAAATCCAAATCGCCAAATCCTGTTACAATAGTGCCGGCAGAAATCAACACAACACCCATGCATTCCATATAATCCGGACATGTGCCGCGGATGAACCTGTCTTGTATCATGGCATAGACGGGCTGCAAACGTTTCAGAATGTTGTAGACAGGTAAACTTGTTCGTCGCATTGCAATAAAACTCAAATACATATTCAGCGCTTTGGCAATAGTAGCTGCTGGTAAATGCCTCAAAACTTTCCAGCTCCATGGTTGGTACCCACCTTTCAGCAATGCGGCATGTGGAACGGTCAGAACACACAATAAACATCAATAAACTACAACACTCACATGTCCTACGCCTACGCAGAACAAAACAACGTGCCGGCCTCGGAAGATGGCAAGAGCGGCAACCGTTGCCCAGCATTCGATCAATAACAGCAAGCTTGACCCCGGAAACTGCCAAGCTGAAGCCGCATATTTCGTCAATGACGTCATTGCCAGCGAGCTCAAAACATACACACCCGCAGAAATTAACCTGGACCAGCGCTCTCTGGCCTCATGTTCTACAGAAACACGTGCCGGCTTGTAATTGGCACCAACTCCTTTTACGGACCTTGCCAATAAAACTGCCTCTGGTCCCTGGGATACAGTCATGGCTGCGCTCGGACTGATGCTGTTTGGGCAAAACTCCAACGGAAAATCACCACTGAATCACCACCAAACCTATGTTCCACGCCAGTTTTGAAGGCACTGGACACACGACCAGTTTGCATCTCATTGATCTGGAAACGTATCCCACAATCTTGTCTGACCCTACGGCAAGTCAGCAGAGGTGCACAAAAAGAAATAGCGTTTGGTTGAAGATGTGTTGGCATACAAACTTGCACAAACCAAAATAGTTCAACTCAGCCTAACCCATGTTCCCGCCACGACGAAGCTTGTGAGAATCCGTTGAAACACTGTACTCTAGTTTCGCTCTGGCGGCAGTCTTGCTTGGGGATCCTTAATGGCGATGGCGGGGGTCTGTGGCGCACCTGCGTGCCTGTGCCTCCCCCCCCTCAGTGCTAGAATCCCCATGCGTGTTGAGAAGCTGTCTTTGCAACTCCCAACGCTGGTGGGCTTGGGTGGGTAACAAAACTTGAGTCTGAACCCAGCTGCAGAATACAAACATCAATGAGTGTGGACGTTTCTCAACTCATTTTCAATCCAAACTTTTCACAAACTCAAAATTGATGTTCAAACGCTTGAGCCATAAGAGGGGGAATGAGAGAATACAAGTTTGCAACCATTGCAGAACACAACTTCGAACAAACTGAAACTGAGAAAGACCTCACAGAAAGAGTGCAAAACGATCCTCGTTTTTTTTGGCATGGTGGTGCGACTGTCCTTTTGGTCTTTGCCCTACACCTGACCTCCGATGTGCACCTGTGCAGACCCAAGGTACGTGCAGTCAACTGCTGGGACTCAAATTCCCCCATCTTTAGAGAGGGCCCAAAGGTTCACCAGTCTGACTTGCTCCCAAGTTTCTGCTTGCGCGCCTGCTTGGGTTCACGCTGTTTGGTACTCCCAAACTCTCTACAGACATCTTGAAACTGCCAACGCGATTCCAACAGAGAACTGAACAGTTCCATTGGTATGTCGCCCCAAGTGAGGCTAACACGACGAGAAGGATCGAACGCCCTGTAATTAATCGCCGTTTTTAAGTTTGAACCATGTGCCAAATATGTAAACCTTATTTCAGCATTGCTTGTCACAATATTCAATGAGACTTAGTCTCATATTCACGTTGCAAATAAATCAGAAGTCAAAATACATATTCCATCAAATATGTGGACAAATACATATTGCACAACAAGACTTCACTCAGCACACAGAACCTTCTTTTGCAAATGGGCGTGCCTTGATCGACTCACTGCTGAAACATCGGCAGGGGTAGGCAACAAATTACAGGGCGGGTTGGGTGGGTCAAAAATTTCTCCCACACCAGTGAGCCACTGCTTGCACACATCAACAACCATGTTATCACAAGACAACTTGTTGCATATGTGGGAAAATTTTCAAAATACAAAACTTGCAACTCAGAATATTGTTCATTTCAGAAAACTGAAGTTCAAGCATGTGGAAGTAAGGTGTTCATCCCACTGGGAGTGTGCACTTATTTCAGCATTGCTTGTCACAATATTCAATGAGACTTAGTCTCATATTCACGTTGCAAATAAATCAGAAGTCAAAATACATATTCCATCAAATATGTGGACAAATACATATTGCACAACAAGACTTCACTCAGCACATGGAACCTTCTTTTGCAAATGGGGCGTGCCTTGATCGACTCACTGCTGAAACCCCCATCCTTTAAGGAGAGAGTCAAGGCTGGGTCTTGCACGCACGACGCCACTAAGAAGGTCCGCTGAGAAATCAAGCCGGCTGGGCCCATCAGAGATGTTGGACGCTGTGCCCACACGGGCATACCAAGACTTGAGCTGCAGTGCAGACTCCAAGCTGATTATGGACGAAATCCAAGTGTTAGCCGGCTCAAGTTGTGCAAAGCAACGGATGCAGGTGTACCTAGCACCGTCGTTGTCAAGGTAACAAACCAATTGTGCGCCATTCAGGATGCCCCTCCAAAGTTCAAGAGAAATGAGGATAGGTGCAATCTCCAGTTCGTATATCGGATTTTTTGACTGCATGAGAAGCTGTTGCATCACACGCACGTCGACCGACTCTCCAAAGAATCCGGCCACGCCTCTGTTTGGACCGAACAAGACTCCTCCAATGCCCCCCCAACCAATGTCGGGCTCACAAGCACCATGGGTGTAAAGAATCCAAGTATCACGGCAAACAGGTTGTACAATCAATGGCGAAGCGGAGGCTACGCGGTCAAGAAGTGAGGCTACAGCCTTCAACAACTCATCATTCAAAACCACAGCGGAAGTGGCATTCCTGCAGGCTGCAGAAAGTGTTCTGATGGCACAACAAGGGACCCTGCCGAAAGAGTAGCCCTCAAAGAAGACAATTCTTCCCCTTAGGCGCTCAAAGACACGCGGCTCTAACCTTCCTGCGGAGATGATGCCTTGAAGAAACTCGGATAGCTCTTCACGCCTTGCAGCTGTGTGCCCGATATGAATTGAACGCTCGAGACTGTGGGACAAGTCAACCTGAAGCCCAAGCATGTGAAACACAGGGGAATAGGGCGGAGCTTTCTTCCCGTCACGATCAAAGTTGATCCCAAGAAGGTCAAACAAAGTCTCGATTGCCCACTTTGTGTTATTGGCAAGAACAGACCTTGTGATGTTGTTGGAGAAATCGTCGAAGAAAGACGACCAAACTAATTTCAAAAGAACCAACCCTATCCTCCACACGGCCATGGAGATTCTAAGAAAAGCGCTAACTGAACCGGTAGCCCCGAAAGGCAGTGAGTTCACTCCAAGAAGAGCAGGCTGTTCAGAACCAGGCTGGTTCACTGCGATCCTCAGTCTATCCCTATCGCTTGGGTGAACACCATACTGCTTATAAGCACTCTTTAAATCAAACGTGCGCCCGACCCAATCGGTAAGGCCCTCCTCAGACGCCACCCCAAGTGCATGGACCGCCATAGCAGAGAGCTTGTCTATCGTGTGAAGCTCAAACCGCTCACGCAGTCCAATGGTGCATCTCAAAGCTATGAGGAGACCTTGGGTGTCACGGTCATTTGCCAGCCACGACCAACCTGCGTTGATCTCCTTTTGGGTCTCAGCCCAAGCAGAGGATTCCAATTCAGGGTCTTGGCGGGAACTCAAACGCTCTAGAGTGCTTCTGTTCAGTCCAGCAGACAGCAGGTGAGCAAGGTTTCCAAAGACATGGAGGGCCGCTTCACTTTTGGTTGGGAGTTCCCCGACAAAGGCATCCACCCCGAAATCCTGAAACCCTGACGTATATCACGCACAAGGTCTACATCGGGGCAGCCCGCTGCTTCCATGAGATCACCAAGGAGAAGAAGCCTTTTTCCACTCAAGCCTTCCTAAGATATGGCGGGAGGCTGTCATGAAGAGAATTCTCATCTTGCTGCAACTCCTTAGCCTTTTTAGTCCAAGTCTTGACAAAATCAATGCGAAGCTTTGCCAAGTGGTACACATCACTGCAAAAGTTTGCATGAATTGCCTCGTGAATTGCGGGCTCCACGTGTGTTTCGAAACCCCTGGGATGGCCTGCCTGAAAGGCTCTCTCAATGAAGACCTCAGGGCAGCATGGGATGCCAACAAAGAAGACCTCCAGCTGGGAGTCCTTCCATTGCGTAAGCGTGTCCTAATCACAGAGCCTGAAGTCAGGGATTTCATGAAAGGTGACTTCAGTGGCATGCACAAGAGACGGGATGACCGAGCCCCCATCAAGTAACCGCTGTCTCACCACCTTTGATCCTTTGGGCATAGAGCGCAGAAACGAATCAATGCCAACCTGTTTACGGGCTTCGGCTACTTGGTGCGAAAACTCAGCAACCAATGGACCCATAGTTTTGCCTCGAGGCTGGAATCCCAAAGAGACGCGAGTGGCTTTGCTATCGAAGGGGATGGCAGACTGACGCAGGACAGACATATCCAAGCCCGGAAAGCAAAGCTCCAACAAGGCATCGATAGTGCGTTGGCAAAGTAGTAAGGGGTAGGCTGCTTCATCTGCCGTAACGAAGTGCAGCCTATTACCTACTCCGCGGGGGGTCCAAGGTTTGTGCCAACGTGTGCCGTCACAAAACAAGGAGAGCTGACTAAAGACCTCTTGCGAGACCCAGAATCGCGTCAACTTCGGGCGTTGACCACCATGACAACACGAATGGAAGTCCACGTTGTGGCCGGCGCAGAAAGCAGCAAGCTCCAGGAAAAAGGAGGTACTACACCAATAAAGACTACTAGCAGGATTCTCAATCACCACCAGTACTCCTAGGAAAACAGCAAAGATGGAGATTCTCGTCACCTGGGCATATAGTTGATTTGCCAGCTCAACTTTTGCCTTGTTCCAACCTGTCAGGCCAGGAAGCATGTCAGGACACAAGCGACTTCGCAGTGGAACTGGAATTTTGAAACCCTTGCGAGCCCATTTCAACAACTTGCGCTCTCGAGCCACGCTGGCAGCTAGCAGTGCCACAGGGTGGAGAGATGAACAACAGTGCCAGCCGGCTCCGCTCGGCTTGGACGATGTCAAGCAGTTCTGCAACAGCAGCAGGGTCAGCAAGATCAAAGCGCAAAACATGTTTGCCCGGGGATCTACGGGGATTGTTATCCACTGCCAAAATCTTGAAGCCCTTGCGTGCTGCTGTGGTTGAAAGGATAGCAGTGCCCGCGCAAAGCTCCATGACCAAAAGGTCCTCAGGCTGAAGATTTCGGAATGAGTTGAAAAGCTCACTGCTGCTAGGACTAGAATTTGTAGGTGGCACAGCGGTTGGCGATTTCTCCTGAGCAGCATTCAAACCTGTAAGGCGGGGATCAATTAAGGGGAAACCCAGACCAGGACTAGGAAAAACCCTA